CAACCTTGATCAACTGACTTCTTTATTTTCAAAGTCTAAATCTTCTACCTGTCTCTTGGATCCGATTCCGACCAAACTGCTTAAGGAAGTTTTTCCTTTAGTTAGCACATCCTTATTAGATATTATGAATCTGTCTTTGTTGACAGGACATGTACCACAGTCCTTCAAGGTAGCTGTAATTAAACCTCTTCTTAAGAAACCTACTCTTGCTCCAGAGGTGCTGGCTAACTACAGACCTATTTCTAATCTTCCCTTCCTCTCTAAGATCCTTGAGAAATCCGTCGCAAATCAATTATGTGACTTTCTACAAAACAATGCTTTGTTCGAGGATTTCCAGTCAGGATTTCGAGTGCATCACAGTACAGAAACAGCACTGGTGAAAATTACGAATGATCTTTTACTTGCATCGGACCAAGGACTCATCTCTTTTCTTGTCTTGCTGGACCTCAGTGCCGCATTTGATACCATAGACCATTGTATCCTGTTGCAGAGACTAGAACATTTAATTGGTATCAAAGGAACTGCACTCAGCTGGTTTAAATCCTACCTATCGGACCGATCCCAGTTTGTGCTTGTAAACGGTGAATCCTCAAAGACCACCAATGTTGGTCACGGAGTCCCACAAGGTTCTGTACTTGGACCGATCTTATTTACCCTCTATATGCTTCCTTTGGGCGATCTTATCAGGAAACACCGCATAAACTTCCATTGTTATGCAGACGATACTCAACTGTATCTGTCGATCAAGCCAGAAGAGACGGACCAGTTAGTTAGACTTCAAGAATGTCTTGGAGACATCAAAACTTGGATGACCGGCAACTTCCTGATGCTAAACTCAGAAAAAACGGAAGTTATCCTGATAGGCCCAGAGCGCCTTCGAAGCCAGCTGTCACGTGATACAGTTTTTATGGATGGAATTGCTCTGGTACCCAGCAGCACCGTCAGGAATCTGGGAGTTCTCTTCGACCAGGATATGACCTTCAACACGCATATAAAGAAGACTTCAAGGACTGCCTATTTTCATCTACGTAACATATCAAAAATCAGGAACTTCCTGTCTCAAAGTGATGCAGAAAAATTAGTTCATGCGTTTGTCACTTCCAGACTTGACTACTGTAATTCTTTGTTATCGGGCTGCTCTTGTAAATCTCTTAAGCCTCTCCAGTTGATTCAGAATGCTGCAGCACGTGTATTAACAAGAACTAAGAAAAGGGATCATATCACTCCTGTATTAACTTCTCTGCACTGGCTCCCTGTTAAATCAAGAATAGATTTTAAGGTACTTCTCCTCACCTACAAGGCACTTGCTGGTGAGGCACCGTTGTATCTTCAAGAGCTTGTAACACTGTATTGCCCTACAAGGCAACTGCGCTCCATAGATGCTGGGTTACTTGTTGTTCCTAGGGTTTTAAAAAGTAGGCTGGGGGCCAGAGCCTTCAGTTATCAAGCTCCTCTTTTGTGGAACCAGGTTCCACTTTCAGTCCGGGGGGCAGATTCGGTCAGCTCTTTTAAAGTAAAACTTAAAACGTTCCTCTTTGATTCTGCCTATAGTTAGGGCTGGCTCAGGTTAGTCCGGACCAGCCCTTAGTTAAGCTGCTATAGGCTTAGAATGCCGGGGGAATTCTTAGGACACACCAAGCTCCTCTTGCACGCTCTTGTTCTACCATAATTCACGTTTTATTAATGCACATGACTAATTCAGCTTCTTTCCGGGAGTTTTTTTTTGTGCTTTCTTCCCTATCAGGTCTCCGTAGATCGTGGTTCCTTCGGGACCCTGGTCCTGACACCTACCGTGGCCATGCTGACGCCTGCTGCTGCCATCATCATCATCATTATTTTAGATATTAATCATATTACTTTACTCATAAACCGACATTACCCTCTCCTAAAATCTCTGTGCTCTCCCTCCCCACAGGCTTCTGTGGATGGTGGTTCTATGTGATGGTGGTTCTATCTGATGGTGGTTGCCCCTGCAGTGGTCCTGCTGTGCGCCTGGCTTACTACTCACAACTACTTCATTACTATCATTTCTGTCATAGGAATTGCATGTATTATACATTGTTCATTCTGTACACATGGCATCCATTGTAGTCTGTCCATCCCGGGAGTGGGATCCCTCCTCTGACGTTCTCCCTAAGGTTTCTTCCCTTTTTTCCCTCTTGTAAGGGTTTTTTCATTTTTTGGGGAGTTTTTCCTGTGCCGATGGTGGGTTTCGGGGCAGAGGATGTTGTATGTGTACAGACTGTAAAGCCCTCTGAGGCAAATTTGTAATTTGCGATAATGGGCTATACAAAATAAAATGACTTGAGTTGACTTGACTAATGCCTAGATGTTGTGGGCGGTCAGACTCTTTAACAAAAAACCATTATAATACATTTTGATCAACATGACATAAGCAATTGATAAAGTAGGACAACTGAAAAACTTGTTCAAAGAAATGAGAAACTGCTTTTTTGATGCGCTCAAGTCACACCATGATGTGAAGATTGAACAGGTAGTTTTGAAAATTTCAATTATAATCTGAGACATGTACCAAAAACTGTAATGTCTATTTGACTCTAAAAGGACTGTCGTGAACGAATCAATGGTGATGTCGGGTCTTCGTCGGCCGTAATGGTCTGGCCCGCGTTCGGTCGAGGTGGGCTGCATCTGGCCCGTACCTGATTTGAGTTTGAGACCCCTCCTCTACACTGAGCCGAACACAACTTCAGCCGAGTTAGCCCAGTCTAAACCATGAGAGAGTAGTGGGGAGAGTTTAAATATTCTACTAAGACCGTCACTGTACTCTCAGTTCTCAATTGTTCACACTTCCACCTTTCTACATCGCTGACAGTTACCAGATGTATTTATTTAACAGGGTTGGGCGGGGGAGACATCCCCTCTTAGTTTATGAGCGTGAGGTCTCAGGTTACATCATTGGTCTTTAACCGATCTTTTGGAAGGGAAACTTGAAAAATATTTTCAAACTAACTACAACAGGCCAAAATAAATGAGCCTGCGTACGTTTTCCGCCTTCGGCAAATTGGAGACAATTCCAATATAGTCGTATACATGGAATCCTGTGGTATTTAACTGCAGATGATATCGTAGGTAGACATGACTGTGATCTGCACATAGATAAAGCTTGTATTCTGACGCAAGGTACCAACATTGTTTTTTATGCGCTTTACTTTCGGGGCCACAGTGTTCATACAAATTGTGTCCAAATGTTTGCCTCTAGGAAGAGCTTTAAGAAGGTAATAAAAGCAGATTCCCCACTGATTCAAAGCAGCTGTCACTCGGTATCGTTTCCAGTAATGCTGTCGTTTGTTTTACTTTGACCATGAAAATGGTCAAAACAGACTTATTCATATTCAATTCTATTCTTCTAAAACAAACTTTACCCTACATCTACATATGGACAGTACATACATGGACAGATTGAGACCACAAGTAGCAGATTAATATGACTGTTGTCATAAAATGTGCTACACCTCAAGTTAAATGCTTAAACACGAGCAAAGAAAATGATATACATATACACATATATGGGGTAAAATAGATACTTTGGACTCACAGAGGCCATTTCTCTGCACAGGTGATATTTGCCTGCTTTTACTTTATAACTTACAAGCAGAACTTTTACTTGTGGTGCAGTTTTTTGCTTGTATGGTAACTTTAGTGACCTTTAGTCAGACTGTGATTAAACTACTGGATTTACTGCTATGTTTGTTTTCTTTAGCGTGTTGATTTAAAAAGCAATCTGGGCGGCATTAAGAAAAAGCGCTGCCAAAACAAGTTGAAAAGGAGTTTTAAGGAATGAGGGTTGAGTAACACAATCGTGATACAGTGTGTTATTCAGTGTATGTGTGTGTGTCCAACTAGAACAGTCACATGGTTTCTAATTGCTTCCAGGAGGTTTCCCCCCTTTGACACACATGGATGCTGTTCCCACACACTCGCTCAGGTCACAATGTTTTACTGCAGAATTCTGACCCATGCCATCACCTTAAATAGATGAAATCATTTTATCGAGAATCCAGATGTACCTCCGTTTTTCTTTGCAAATGCTTACTGAGTATGTTTCCACTTCAGTCCCACATTCCTTGGCTGCTCTCCTGTCCCAGGGGATAATAGCGCTGAGGGATGTTTCATGAATGCAAAAGCAAAGTTTGGGGTTGCTATTTTTCTCAATAAAAAATGCAAAAATCCTTGGAAATGGGTTTATTCTGTTTAAAGAGGTGTATATAATAAATAACCAGACATAGAAGTAAAGAGAAAATTTAGGCCGCGGGTCGCAGATAACACATTTTTATTTCTGTATTTAACCTTTGTTTAGCCAAGATAATCCCGGTGAGAATTTAAATCGCATTTACAGTGTGGTAGATTCTAAAAATTCCACAAAAGCACCACATAAAAACACAAAGCAGACTGAAACCCAAATCAAGTGGGTCAAACTCTTAGGAAGTAATAATTAACATTTTGTGCAAGAAGTTTGTTTTGTTATTAGATTCCTGCACAGTCGACCTTTAATAATGTGTATTAGTATTATAACCCATTGTAATAACAGACTAGATTACTGTTCTGAGTCTCGGGTGTTGATGTTGTTGAAGTTCAGAAAGAGCAAGTTTCCTGCTGAGCTAAAACTAAGAACAGATCTTGAAGTAAACCACTTGGATCAGCAGTCAAGGCAACGCACCCTCAAGCTGTTTGGCTTTCACAGACACTCAATGAGAGACACGGGGGGAGACTCTGCTTCCCACAAGCAAGATTCAACTGCTTCAGTGTGGGTGTAACCGCTGCTAAGTGATCACTCACGTCTCTGTAAGTTAACACATGGGCCAGTCACAGAGGGACATTTTCCAAGTTTTCTGTGTCAGTCCAAAGACATTCATTAAATCTGTGCTTTGGTAAAAGGAGGAGTTCAAACTGAACAGATCGCTATGCACTCCCCCATCAGTGTGCCGGCCAGTGGGAGGGATCAGTAAGCAGAACGAGGCGGAACCGTGAACCGTTCCCCAGTTCCCCCATTTAAAGCTCCCAGACTCTCTGTCCTGTTCACTGGGGGAAAAAAACAGCTAATCTGAACACCATAAAGCCAGAGGAACATCTCACCTACGGCTACTTCTGCTGGGTTAGAAGTATCCCTGACAACATCCAGCATTCAGGGAGAAAGGATATCGAGTTGTTCCAACATGGCATCTCTCAAAAATGTGCTTTACCTGGGAGTCTGTCTATCTTGGACCGTCACTACTGCAGGTAAAAGCACGGGATAAATTGATGGGTAGATAAGTGGATGGATGTATGGATAGAGAGATAGATAGATAGAATGATGGACATATAGATGGATGATAGATAGAGAGATGGATAGACACATAGATAGATGGATAGATAGATAGATAAGTAGATGGATGGATTGATAGATAGATAAAAAGAGGCATGAGTTGGAGCCCCAGCGTGCACAATGGTTTTTGCATGAAGGGCATCATGTTTTCTCCACTGGAATGTATCTCTGGACGGCACGTCTTGGTTCATATGGCGGGCTGCATGTGGAAAGGCACCTTAGAGGGCACGTCATTCATTCTTATCTACTTGGAGGGCACCCTAGATAGCAGTTAGTCATATTTTTTCACTTGATGGGGTCCCTTGAGGGCACGTCTTTATGTTTTCTCCACTGGAAGGAAACTCTGGAACGCACATCCTTGTGTTTTCTACACTGTAGAGGCACCAAAAGGACACGTTTTCTCCACCAGACAGGCAACAAATAGAGCCCTTCATTATATGTTATCCATTGGGAGGGCACCCTTACGGTCACAGCGTCATGTTTTCTCTACAGGGGGCTGTGCAGATACATTATTTCAGACTCATGTACGCATACGTCAGCCTTGGCTACACAACATTTTGAATTTAAAAGAAATGTTCTGTCCCCACCCCAATCCACCAGACTGTTTTTTCCTTCTAACGTTGTGTTAGGCTTTGTTAGATTGTCAGACTTGAGTCTGCGGCGCCAAGGCAACCACGGGTCATCTCAAACGTTGTTTAGCTCGTGTTTGACTACGCTGTGTTTGACTACGATGGAACTATTTCATATTGTGTCAGATAGATAATGGACAGAGAGGAGCTATACATTTAATGAAGATACCACTTGTTTTTTTCTGTTTGGTTTTATGAATTAGCTTGAGGTCTAAAAGACAAATAAAATAAAATTCCAGGTGTGAACACTGGAGATAAAATCCATGTGAGACGTTTATTCATACTGGAAATGTAACTAATGTTGAAGTTGTCATAAGTTATCTTTCAAGCAAGGGTCATGATCTTTGTAAAAAATAACCTGCGCAGTGGCAACATTCTTCAGTTGACCTGTAATCAGTAAATGTGGCATGATGGAATTTAGTTAATCATGACGCAGCGTTTTTCTCGCGTGGAAAAGTTGAAGCACAGAATGAGTCAAAGCAAATGTTCCACAACATTGTTTTTGGCAATGCAACAAATAAACGTAATGAGAACAAAATGTCACAGAAAGGTGCAGGACACCCAGTGCTTCAAACTTAATAAGTTGGTCACTACAGCTCACTTGAGTTACTGTCTGTTTATAAGAAAGAGGCGCAAGAGGAGGTGGGATCAGGGTTTCTCCAACAGATCCATCAAAGTGGATATGAATTTTATTTGTTGTGATCCTACACTAGCAAAACAAAACCAGGTAAGAATATTGTAGAGAAGAAAATGAATGTTGTGTTTTCATAGATGGGAACGTTTTGCCGAAAGCGGAGAATGTACGCTGGATGTCTCTGGACTTTAAAATCATCGTCGCCTGGACTATCAAGCCTTCTGATTACAAATACACTGTCTCGTACTCTAGGTGAGTCCACACACTCACACACAATAAATCTGTCATTCAGAATTTGTACTGTACATGACATTGGACAATTTTAAATGATAGGAAAACAATACCGCTTTTAATTCTATTAGAATATATTTCACATTTGGGGTCCCGTTTTCCCACTGTACTTCTGCTGCTCATTTTTTTTAAACATACAAACATGAAAGTTTGTTACACGGAAAGACAAGAATAAAGACTAGAATTATCCTGCTTAGTGTAGACGTTTAACGTAAAACCAAGGCTACTTTTGATGCTACAAAAAACAATGGATGATAATGAGCATCCAAGTGTTTTTCATCATTCTGTTGGGCTCTGAGGGAAAAGGCAGGATTGTTTGGATTGTCTTGAAGTTCACTTCATTTTTCCCATAACAAAAAGCAATTTCTACAGAGGACTTCTTGAGGGACAAGTGAGATTCTGATGATTATTCTATTTTAAAAGTCTGATCCAAGGTGCTTCTCTCCAAAATGTATTACTTGTGACCAGGTGAAAGGAAAGTTTTGCCAGGACTATTTTTCATTTATTTTCTGTGTGAAAACATGTGGAAACAAATAGTGGCTGCAATACTTATTTTGGCCACAGGTGGCTGAAGTGCTCCACCAACTGAGTTCCTTCAATTAATGCTGCTTCAAAAGATTCTCCCGATGTAAACTTTTCATTCAGTAAGTCATAAACACAGAGGAAATAAGTTTGATAAGATTTTTCTAAAGGTTTTAAAATATTTATTTGTATTTCTTCCTTTCGCTATCTATTCGTAATATGTAATGTGTAATGTGCTACTGTCCTGCATGTCAGCGACAGAAGGCGCCACTGAGTGAGCAGTCTCGTGTCATTGTTCTCCTGTTTTTCTGTATTTTTGCACGTGTCTATCAGCGAGGACACTGACTGGACTCAGAGTTTACAATGCATTGGAATATCCCATTCAGAATGTGATCTGACCGACCAGCTCCGGCCCTGGGACAGGTAGGTCCTCTGTCACTTCAAGACCTGAATAATGACTCTGTTACGTTTCAATGGAGCTTATCTCTTGGGTGTTTTCACTAAGTAAGTTATATAATATCGTACTCCTTCTAGTTTCTACAAACTGACTTTAACATTATCATCCTTAATTAATTTGAGGAAATTCTTGTCCTGTCTTTTAGAAGAATCTCAGTGGATCGTACAGTAATTGAGACTTCTGACCGTTGGCCTTGTTTCGCAACAGAAACTCCAAACAGCATGCATGTTGAGTATATATTACGTATATCCCACCCACAATCATGTATTTGTGATTGACAGGAGCTACATTGTCAAGATCCAAACAGAGCCTGATGTGGACGACTATAACGGCCTTGACCTGGGAGAGTTCCCTTACACTGAATCCACTCCCTTCAACCCCTATAGAGAGAGTAGGTACTGCATGCACACGCAAAAAACCCCAAATAATCCATATTTAACACACTTCAGAGGTGAGCAGCCTCTAATCATATGAGCTACAGTATATCGGTTTTCTTATGACGTATGATACTATATCCTTTTCTATGTTTTGGTATGTTTGCCAAAATTCCTCTTCTACTCTTCACCTTAGTGGCTATTTTGATTGTTGTTAATTCTGCGTATTTAATCATTGCTAGAGGAGAAACACGTTGACCCGACATGAGTAAACATGACCTCATCATCTCTTCAGCTAACATCAGTGCAGCGAATTTCAACGTAACGGTCGTGGATGAGAGCAGAGTCCTGGTCACCATCACAGACCTTCTGAGTGCTTCTCGTGACGGCAAGAAGCAACTCACCCTCAGAGACATTCTCAAGAACGACCTCAAGTATAAGATCAGCTACCACCGGTTTGGAAACACAGGCAAGGTACAGTATCAGCTCTGACACTGACAGAAACATGCAGCTCGGTCATACAGAGTCCCGGCAAAGTATTGGCAAACTATTTCCATTGATATACTTGCCTGATTGTCTGAAGACAGTATTCAATGAAAACGAATAACGGTGACTCAAGGGTCCTGTATGAAACTTCAAGCTCGCCTTTGAGACCCATAGACACGAGGAGGCTCCTCCAAGGTCAACCCAAACATAAGATAAGGACATAATACATAAATGTGCAAAAGCTGATACTCGAATGGAGAACCTACAGAAGCTTATTGGATGTCAGCAAAGTACTGACTGATGTGATGTCTCAAAAACGTGTTGGTTCACTCTCAAGGGGATTTCAATTTCGATTTTAGATTTGAAATATATATAAATGTGTTCATGAAATCAAGAATGAATAAACGTCTGAATGGTGAGTGACACTCATGTTTCCTTCTTACCTCGCAGAGAGACATCATATCTGACTCCAGTACAGCAGAGGTGTCAAAGCTGGATGCAGGACAGAGATACTGCTTCATGGTGGCAGCTTTCATCCCCTCCAGACCCAAAAGCACCCAGCAGGGAGCCTGGAGCAACCAGCAGTGTACTCCCGAAGGCAGTAGCGTCGTGCAAGGTGCACACACTTTGTACACACTGCACCACCACCCACATTCCAAATACCCACAGTGCGCCTCTGGGATTGGTATTGACACACAGGGCCCACTTTACAGTTTGTATTATACCATATCACCAAAAAATACTCTTGTAAGCTAACTAAGTTCATTTTAAAAAGACGTGTAGTGTAAACAAAACAGCGTCGCTGATATGTTAACGCTAGAGGCAGCAGGGGAACCTAGAGCTTCATAGATGGAAGCAGGTCCGGGGCTAAAGATTTGATTTGGAAAGCATCACTTTAAGTCAGCCCACTCAGTCATCATGTGGGCAAAGACTCAGATGGATCGGGGTCACCACCAGAGTTCCTGAAGGGAAAGCGGCATTGGTTCCAATTCCAGGAAACGAAGGAATGCACATGTTGACTGAAATGATGAAATGATGACTCATGAGTCCTGCTTGCGGCTTTTTTGGATAAGAGGTTTATTGTCTGAGTAATGAGAGATTGCTTAAGTTGACATACTTTGTGGTCAAGCCTCTGAGTCCTTCCTCTGGCCTCACATGGTGCGTTTACAACACCTTTCTCATCCTAAAAACACTGCGTATCCCTCTAGCCTACAGGAATTTCCATTGAAGTAGATGAGAAATCGAAGATAAATCTTTTCACATAAAAAAAGCTGAAATATCAAAGAAATGTTCCTTTATCTGTTTTTTTTTTAAAAACAGCATGGAATGGCGGCATGGAAAATACATGTTGTCTGATCTAAACTCATATTAAAACATCCTACTAGTGATTAACAACTCTTAAATGCATTCAAATGTACAATGTTCAGAGTTGTAGTTTAAACATTAAAAAAGGACGTCAATGTATTGTGTTACTAAAATGGCTTATAAAATGAGCATGCTAACCAAGTAGCCTTGGCCATCCTCTGCGCCAGAGGCGACAGTAACTAAGAGAAGTAGAAGGGCCCCGGGGTTCTTCCGCCTCCTTGACGCTATAGGGCGGAAGCTGACGCTTTTGTTAGTTTATTATGTTAAATCTACGAGTTAATAGCAGTCAGAAAATAGCTCTAATTCAGTCACTATGGATTTACCTATAAATGTACACTGGTGTTAGTTAGCAGTGAACACCCAATAGTAGAGGGGACATGCTGCCCCCTACTGGTTTGGAAGCTGGGGGCAGATCTTACACATCCATCGGTCTAACTGTGACTCTCACTGTGTTGCCAGAGCTAACCCTTGGAGCGTGGGTCGGTGTAGTCTTCATCCTGCTCACAGTCTTCGGCATCATCATTACGGTGACCTTCCTCTGCTGCAGACGCTACAGACAAAAAAACACGTCTCAGTCATCAGCACCTGTTTAGTGTGTGTGCATATGTGCCTGTGTGTGTGTGTGTGCGTGTGTGTGTGTGTGAGTGTGTGATTGTGTGATCGTCTTACAAACACAGGGAGCTGGTCTCTCTTCTATTGTCTTTGTTTCTAATAAACCTGGTTTTACGTGGTTATGCTATTCTTTTGTTTATTGTCGTCATTTTTATTGTTATTTTTCATTTACATTTAGAGGAACGTGTGCAGCTTGCTCGGACAGTGTGCAATTAATCATTTAATTCGTAATCTATTGACCTAAATATCTAATTGCCCTAATTATAAGCTCCTTAAGATATGACGGCTCGTCAGTATTTGAATCATATCTGTTATATGTATTGAACATCTTGTTCATCTTTTACATTTGTACTTAGGAAAGGGATTGTCCCCTACAGTTCTTTCTCTATCCCCATGAAGGTATTTTTCCTTTGCCGAGTTTTCAGGACAGAGGTTCGTTGCACGGATTTTGTGCACAAGCCCTCTGAAAAAAATATGCAATTTGGGATTTTAGGCTGTACAAACCAAATTCTATTGAAAAATGAAAACACAACTCACATGAATGACGGGGTCATGGTGAGATGTCGTTTGGGGTGCTCTGCTGCCCCCGATTGGTCAAAGAAATTAATTGTAGCTTCAAGTTGTAGCCAGTCTGACAACTACACGAGACATGTTGTATCCATGACATACCTGCACTGTAACAAATTTCCCCGTTAATTTACAGTGATTTACTGGCAGCCACATTTCCTGTATTCTTCTGCAATCCTTCTGAAGGAGTGAATTAGTTGGGTGTCATCAGCATAGCTGTGGTAGGAGAAGCCATGTGAGCGAATGACAAGTGAAGAGAGTTGGTGTGGAGAGAGAAGAGGAGGGGACTGAGGACGGAACCCTGAGGAACTCCAGTAGTAAGAGGACAAGGTTCCGACACAGATCCTCTCCAGGTTACAAAGTAGGTGCGGCCATCAAGATAGGAAAAGAGAAGGGAGAGAGCAGAGCCTGAGACACCAAGTTCCTGGAAGGAGGAAATAAGGATCTGGTGGTTTACTGTGTCAAATGCAGCAGAGATGTCCAGAAGGATGGAGGACAGAGGAGGGAGAGCAGCTCTAGCAGTGTGGAGTTGCTCTGAGACAGCAAGGAGAGCAGTCTCTGTGGAATGGCCTGTCTTGAAACCTGAAAATACTTAAATAACTGTCCAATGCAATCGGAAGATATTCTCAACAATCTACAACCAAGTCTGGAACTACATTTTTAGGGAACTTAACGCAGTTTAAAAATGTGTTACCTATGGGAGGTGTTCTTTTATCCAATGTCCAATGTCCTGTGTGGAAATATGCAGAGCGAAATATGCGGCCACATAAAGCCCCACTCAAAGCCCAAGATGTTTTTTACCAGCGTGGCCACATGGGGATTGACAGTTGCTGCCTTCTTCTGGACCAGCTTCCCTGTCCTTGTAGACACCACATTCCCCTGGTTGCCCTTTGTTAGGTGTTGTATGTAAAGAGTACTTAGTGCTGAAACCTTATGAAATAAAATAAAATGAAATACATGTTTTCAATTTTCATTATAATGACCTATACGTCTACTAATAAGAAAATATTATTATATCATCTAACATAACGTGTAAATATTTCATATTTAATTTTAATTAAAAAAAAAAAAAAATTGTCCAGCACTTTCAAATAAGCCTAATTAGATTTTACAACATGAATAAAGGATCATATCTCATGTGCGACCATTGAATAAACAAAATTAAATGAACATAATGTTAGCAAACGCTGCAGCCGAAGCTAACGTAGCATCAACGTTAACGTTAAATGAATATGACCAAGCTAACGTTGGCCAACTTAACTTTGCTTGTTAATTCAATTGCGGACAAATAAAAAGGAAATAACTCGCTGGTAAAGTGGTTCAACAGAAAGATTACCGATATTAACTTAAATGTTGTCACTCCAGAGAGTAACGTTAATGTGAGATAGTTGGAAGCGGCATGCCTGCTGGAGACATCTGGTTAGCACCAAGTCAAAAAAACTTGGGAGTGACATTTTGTCTCGGTCGGTGGACGCTACGGCCCACGGGGGGCGATGCCGGGTACGCTATGGTCGACGGGGGGGGATTGGACGTGTGGGGGGAGTGCGTGACTAGACACCGAAATGCGTGACTTGAGCTCATGTTATTGGCAAAAGTCAAAATCAAAAATCGATACAATGTAAATTCAACACAAAATGTTTGAACACGGTATTGCTGACAGTGGTAACATCCACGTTACCCTGCTCAGTGAGCCACAGGGGTGGGATGGACTACGGGGTCCGCTGCGCTGTTCGGCGTCGAGGTGGAGCAGCACGCGGCGCGAGGTGGAGGAGCAGGTGGTGCTGAGCACCGCAGCACGCGGCCAAAACAGAGTCTGACTGTCGACTGCTATCTGGCCTGGTCCACTTTATTTGGTGCTTCGTTCAGTCATGAAAACCGTCAAACTTTCCCCCCCTAAATATCACGGATTGATGATCTCCACAGATTTCTTTATCAGATCAGATCAGAATCAGAAGCCATTTATTGCCGTACAAGTTACACACCGAAGATTAGTATTTGATTTGGTGAATTAGTGAAATATAAGAATAAAATAAAACAAAGTCACGGTGGTGTGGTTGTTATCACTGTCGCCTCACAGCAAGAAGGTCCTGGGTTTTACTCCACCCAGTGGCCTTTCTCTGTGAAGTCCCTGTATCTGCGTGGGTTCTCTCCGGGTTCTCCATGCTCCGGGGATCAGGTTAATTGTGGACTCTAAATTGCCCGTACATGTGTGAATGGTTGTATGTCTCTGTGTCGCCCTGCAATTGGTTGGCGACCAGTTCAGAGTGTACCCTGTCTATCGCCCGAAGTTATTTGTTACAGTGATTATGTGTTGATCTGAGAAAGGAAATTTATTCTGTTGCCAGCTGCTGCTCGTTGCTCATGTCTCCTGTTTCTACATAAACAACATGTGCATTGCCACAAATCAAAAAGTGATAAACCAGAATCAGAGATCAGAGTTTTAATTTTATTTTTAACACAGAACCTCACATTTAGACAGCAACACACACAACATCACAAATAAATGTATTTTCATAAGAAGAAGTCAAGTCATCATGGCAAAACTCAAATTATTTAGAATATTTCACTCAACCATGGCTTTTAAAGTGCATACATCATAGAAAACATACACACACAAATAAATGTTCATGCTCCAGGAGCAACTTCATCGCCTAAATTGATAACAGCTTTCAATAATATTCTAATCATGTTTCATATTATAAGCAGCCTGTACACAGATAAATACAAAAATGGATCATTACAAAAATAAATAAATATGTCAGCGACAACAAATGAGAATGAACTATCTTCTGTTTAGATGATTAATTAACTTGCTAAGCTGTTTCTTGTTTACAATGCAAGGAATTAGATGTTTCTTGTGCTACATATGCCTATGTACTGTGATCATTTTCAACATGTAAGAGGAAAGTTCTTAAATCCTTTGCACAGTTTTGAGGTTATTTTATGAATATCAATCCGTGGTATTGGTATGTGAATGAACGTGTCTTTTTTAAATTATAGCCGGTTTAAGAAACAGCCACTGGGTCAACCAGTTTTCTCCATCCCGTAGTCATTCCCATACCTGTCACACAGTGTTTAGGACCCTTTGGGTTTTGGTAAAAGATCATAGATTGACATCGAATGAGTATGTTTTTAATGTAACCTCAGTTAACAGGCCTAATTTTAAATAAGTCAACTTTTGGTTTCACGCGGGACTCAAACGGCAGGTCTCCTGGTCTTTACCTCCACCTGGGCCTTAAGAGGACTCTTGGAGTCTGACAGATCTCCATGCTCCAGGGACAGCTGGGCACTTACATGAACTACATGCGTAAGCATTTTTTACTCTACACTTTATATAAAGTGTAGAAATTATATAAATGTGGTCGTCCTCGCCAAACTTCTCTACAAAACAAGTTGTCTTGTTCTACTCTGCAAACCTACCAGAGGTGCATGGGCCACCAACTTGCCTTGAGTGTGAAACAAAACTGTGGCATGAGTGGTCGCCTACTATATGTGCAGTTCACTTGGTGACAAAATGGGTTTGCCTTGACAACCACATAGGGTCTGCCTTTGTACGAAGTCACCTAACTTCTGGAGCAGTTGTCTAATAGTGAATTGTAATGAAGTACAATTGCACATTGATGTTACTTCTAGAAAGGGTATATGTCGACGTTTGATGCCCTGGGAATGAGACCGGGTCAATGGGTACCATCCGTGGAGGGTCATTCTCCAAACACTTCACCCCAGTAGCGCCATGGATTTGATACATCATGGGATTCAAATATGAACTCCAAAAATGTACTTAAAACAAACAAACATGACAAAATAGGATATTATTTCATCATCATCATTGGCTGAAGTTGTTCAATAATGACTGAATACATTTCAGATGAGAAAATACATCAGAAACAACCAAAACCTTAATTCCAAAAACACCAAACAATTTACCTGTAAAGTGTAGAGATCCAGAAAGACAGGGCCAGTTTATCACTCCTTTACTCCAATTACAGTGATTATATACTCATCATTTGTATTGTGTGGTAGAACCGTATTGAACAGGGATTTGATTATGTGATGATTTGACACCAACATTTAAACAAAAAGCGAAGGTAAGCAATAACTGGCTTTCAGGTTGTGATTTCCTGTTACAGAATATTTTTTCTTTTTTGCTTTGTCCTCTATACACACACATTCACAAAGTGTCAAAATCACAGAATGGTTGCTTGTACGGGTTCACAGTGTTGTTATGCAATCATGGCAGAGCAGTAATGAGGTAGGCGGAAATCAAAACCTAATATGAACTGAAATGTCTTCTTCAGTGTGAAGGTAGACTGGCCTCTGGGATATATGTTCATCTTGTGCATAGGATACACCAATATTCACAATTTTCACTTTGTATAAGAACACGTCTACATATGTATATTCCATTGTGTTTGCATTAATTGGTTACATGGTATTTTGAATGTACACCGCTTTGCAGCACAGAGGTTAGAATGTATCGGTAACACAGTATTTAAAGACTTCTCACAATAAGTGGAAGCAGAGCTTTATTGTGAATTTCAGTCTGTGGTTTTCTCACCCAACAACAAACTGAAAACCAACCTCTTTCATGCAGTGCAATGACAGAGGACGGTAATGCAAAAACGTGAAAAGGACCAAATCTGATTGGAGGGATTTCTGCAAGAGTGAGAAATAAGCGCCACTGAAGCTCTAATATATTCAATTAGAGATGGAGGAAAGAATATAGATAGCTCTTCGAGTTTTGTAAGCTGTCTATTATATATATATATTCATAAACCATAGCATATGACAATAACAATGTTACTGCTGTATTTATGCATAGGATATTTTATTATAAGTCTTGATTGAGCAGCTGCAACGTTAGCACGGGCTAGGCCTGATCGATCCATACTCTATTCAGAAAACAAGCATTTGTATGATCGCCACACTTTGCAGGGGTTGGCGGGTCCCCACATGGCCAAAGTGACATCCCACGTTAAGTCAAGGCCGTTTGCATGGTTTCCCCTGCCTGTGCACATCCGAAAAGATAATAACCTTTACTCATGACAAACTGTACCTGCTACTGTATTTTTGGTACATTTGGTACAAAGATATTTCCCTCAAGAGCTGGTGGAGACCAAAGGCTGAGCTAAAAATAGTGAATATAAGACTTTCATCAGGTGACAAACATGTGTATGAATGATAACGTTAATTTTTGTTTTCTAAATATGTAAATGCATATATGTCTTTGCTAATTTCATAATACGCCAACGTTGTGTTCACAACTTGCTCCTTCTGCCCACAGACCCGACTCCAGGTTTAACGAAGATAATGGAAAAGGTTTGACTTCATGCAGTTGGATCCATTCAACCAGCAGAACTAACTTTAACTAACTACTCTCCTCATCTAGAGCCATACCAGGACTGGTAGATTGGACATTGCAGTCTTCAGAAGCAAAACCGAGCCCATCTTTAGTGTGATGAGGGTAAACACATTTTCCTCACTTGCGTATCAGAACCTTCCTTTATAAAACTCCTACTACTGCTACCTACAAATTGATTTCAGTTGTGTCCCAATTCCATGGTTTATACTGACTACATTAAAAGTCAGGTCATTTTTACATGAGCGAGATGAGAGAACTTAGCAACAACAACAAAAAAACAATGATTTGAGGAAGATGAGGGCTTTTTGGGGGGCATGATAATATCCTACATGTAATTAGTAATCACAAAACAATCATAAATTGTACCTCTTGTATTCCGGATTGGAATCCAGGAATAGATCAAAAATTGGATCACCAGAAAAAAATGAGTAAAACCGTTTGCTTAATTTTTTCTCCTGATACTAATTGTGGATCATTGATTATCAATATTGGTAGATCCAGATCCAGACAGATTGTCTGTGTAATAAAAACAATGGTCGGTTACAACAATAGTAATCAATATATGTTATATACCAATGACCAAGTCAGTGATTTTTAGACGGATACTGAAATTGACATGTGGGAGTTAAAAATAATAATAATTAGGACCAATTTATCTATTGTAAAAATGCTAAATTCAAACTTGATGGTAATTTTGCCCACCGTTTAACCAATGTTTAAACTCTGTGAAAAACAATGTTTACAATGACGATGGACATCTGGCCGGGTTAGGGAAATACCAGCACACGGCTAATTCACCGGCGTTAGAGTACTTTTACCTCTAACTCTGGTTTAGACAATTCTAACTTTTATAATTAAAACAGTATTTGGCGCGAAAGGTAACGAGCTAAAGCTTACTTTAATTTTTACTTTAACCATTAAATCACTTGAATACATAACCCAATCATTTTTATCATAGTTTTACTGGATGGTTAGCTAAAAACTGCCCGGGTTAGGACACTCCAAACTTTACTAACAACCCAAATAGTGCACAGTCATTGTTAGTGCAACATTTTGAACCATTTGTAGCATAATTATATGGAATGGAATTGGGACACTGCTGTAGAAAAATATGGGGTGGAGGACAGTTTTGGTCTATTGATTCTTATTTTTAAGTATGCGGTTCAAACGCTGAAGATGCCCAAATACCCTAAAAATATTTTTTCGCCGACCTTCAGTGGTTTTAACCTTTCGGCAGTGACGAGCAGGTGAGCTCTGGCTAAAGGCGTATTAATACACACTTCTGACAACATGCTGATAAGTGATACGGGCCCAAACTCTAAGCCTGTTGTCCATCTTCTCTTTGAGGAGTAACTGCTGACGGAAAACACAGTTCATGTTACCATGGCAACGGTATAGATATGCACTCACTATATAACCCAACCAAACTCTTTATACAGCTTTCATCCAACTTTGGCCTAAAACTACTGACTAGATTATCTGAATACCACAATATTATATAATGTATATACATGTAATCTTTGTGATGAAGTCACACAAAGTCCACCTCCACATGCTCCATCTATAAGCAAAAAAATGGATATTCTTTTTTTTTACAGCAGACTAATTAAGTGGATGGGAAGCTTAGCCAAGCGACTCAGAGGACATAGGGTGGGGGTTGGCAGCTGATATGTTAAATAAATGGGAGATCAACCGTATGATTGATTGACAAGTATAATTTTAGGTAAAAACACTAGGGTATAAGAACGTTCAGTGTTTCCCCCACGTTTACAACTATGCGGGGGCAGACCGGCTGATGGGGTGTGCTGGAGGGGGATGAGGGGATGAGGGCGGAGGTCAATTTAACTGGTGGAGGTCACTGAGGTAGTCAATTTTGCAGATGTTTGCAGATGATGTGGTACTGACTGCATCTTCTGTCTGTGACCTCCAACTCTCACTGGAGCGGGGAGCAGCCGAGTGTGAAGGGGTCGGGATGAGAATTAGCACCTCTAAATCTGAGGCCATGGTTCTCAGCAAGAAACCGATAGATTGCCTACTCCGGGCAGGGAACGTGTCCTTACCGCAAGTGAAGGAGTTCAGTACCTCGGCGTCTTGTTCACAAGTGAGGGGAAGATGGAGTGTGAGATGGCTGGAGAATCGAATCAGCAGGGGCGGTATTGCACTCGCTATACCGCACCGTTGTGAAGAAAAGAGAGCTGAGCCAGAAGGCAAAGCTCTTGTTCTACCGGTCAATCTGGATGGGTCATGACCAAAAGAACTAGGTCATGGGTAAAAGCGGAGATTATATCTATGCACTGAGCTGGTAGATGTGGCCCGGGAATGGATGGACTTTCTTGGGGGGGCGCCTGATATAATGGTAAGGGAAACACTGAAGTTGTTCATTTTCGCACAGTTGTTTCCTACTCTAACTCGTATAAATTGCTGTAGATAGACGAGTCAACAGTCTCATAAATGGTGATCTTTGAATCTAGTTATCCAGTTGACTGGTATTTTACAATTTTCAAATATTTTTCACTTCTTATCTTTCCATTCAGATTTTAGTGCATCGCTTTGAGACATGTAAAACACCGACACAAAACTTATTGAAATAAATACCAGCAGAATGTTCTCTCACTTCTGCATGTTCCATTACCACCCTTTGTATCCATTTAGTTGCCCTTCCTCCTTCTTCCCTCCTCATTCATTTGGTTACTCGGGTTGCCAGTGTTGTCATGTGAACCCCGCTGACATGGTAACCCCCAACATGGGTGTGGTAGGCCAGAGATCACTTCAGGTCGATACCCTGACTCGGGGACTGAGCCTTCTCCTTGGTCTAAAACACATAAGAGAAAACGTTCAGCGGGATGATGCTGAATGTTATTACATCTATGAAAAAAGTATAAAACTATAAATTTGTGCATCGATATTTGACACTATGTCTGAAGTTGTTAAGATTTTCGTTGAAAGATAAAATTTCATTACAAATAATTGCAAAACACAGTATTTCATGCCAAAGGTCAATGAGTGTATTCATGTCATTACACTCCTTTATCTGACACTTCAGTTACTGGTATCTACAATAACTGGAATTCCTTTTGGTTTCTAACTTACCCTGAGCGAGGGCCGAGGCGGCCGAACTGGTCTGACAGGTCGTGCTGGCTCTGCTACTGGGTTTGCCTGCCTTCTCTGCAGAGGCTCGAGGTCGTCCGCTACATCAGGACAACCAATGTATCCTCCAGCCACAAACACTGAACCCAGATCATCCTCTAACAAGTTGTGACTGGCGGGAGAATTAGATGGTGCAATGTCCTGGTTGGCAGTTATGTTGCTGATGGCCATGTTGAGGGTGTCTGCAGTATTGGTGTTTGATTTGTTGGTTGAGCAGCTGGTGTTATTGAGTTTGAGTCCCAGCAAGTCTTCTGATGCCACATCACTGTCTGAGCTGTTATTGGTGGTAAAGACGTCTGGCTCCACAAAGCATTGGTTATTGTTCGCTTCAGGGGAAACATCCTCTTTCAAAAATGCCAGCACTTCCTGGTTGTCATGGCTACCCACATCATCTAGCAGATCCTGGTTTTCATTGCTACCCAGTTTCACAAGTTCCTGGTTGCCCTCACTACCCAAAACTAGCACTTCCTGATTTTCTTTGCCAAAAAAATCTAGCAAGTTTTGGTCGCCATGGCAATCTAAATCCAGCACTTCCTTATTTTCTGGACAGAAATCCAGCTCCTGGTTGCCATGGCTAAAAGGTACCAACACTTCCTGGTTGTCATAGTTACAAGGTTCAAGTAGTTCCTCGTTGTCAATATTGCAATAGGGTTCCACCACCTCTTGGTTGTCATGATGAGAGAGATCCAGAAATTCCTGGTTTTCATTGATAACTAAACCTATGTTGTCAAGCCTAGAAGGTTCCAGCACTTCTTGGTTTCCATTGTTAAACAAATCCAAGTGTTCCTGGTCATTGTAGCTACAATGTTCAAGCACTTCTTGGTTTTCATGGGTATGAAGTTCCAGTACTTCCTGGTTGCTACAGTTAGAGTAGTCTACTTGGTCATTGTTGTCGTAGGTGCAAAGGTCCATAGCTTCCAGGTTACCAAGGCCACAGAGGTTCAGTACCTCTTGGTTCTCTTCCTCAGGGCTGAGCTTAAAGCCATAAGGGTCTGAGTCCTGTGCCAATGGGGAGGAAGTGATGTCAAACCCATAGCGATCAATGTTCATTTGGTCTAGTTGAGAAGAGGACGGCTCAGGGTCGAAGGTCAGATTGTTTTCAGAGGGTTCCGGGCTTAGTTCAACTTCATCAGGGTCTAAAAGGGTGTGACTAGAATGTTCTGGACTGAGTTTAAAGCCGTACGGGTCAAAGAAAGACTGACTGGTTGGTTCATAGCTTAACTCAAAGCTAACCTCTCTGTTGTGATCAGAGTCGAAGAAGTCTACTGAGTTTTGGCGATTTGGAGGGTTTTGGGGTACCTCTTCAATGTTGCCCACCCATTCTGCCCCCTGACTAGAGGTATCGTAACAGGACAGCGTTTGCGCTGTTTCATGGGACCAGTCTGGTTCCAACGAGACAGCCTGAGCAGAACCAGAACTGAGACCTAGAAGAGGAAAACAATGACGGGTCAATGCTAGAGTTATTAGGGGCGAGATGTTTTAGGAAGATTTGACACAAAGATTTAAGAAAATGTTTCACATGAAAATACAAATACAATACAATTTTACAAATACAAAAAAATGTAGAATATCAATTTAAGAATATAAAAACGACCACAAGCAAACATATGTGTTTTACACCTAATGGTGTTCAAGTGAAAAAGTGAATTGGAAACGTTCTCCATGGAAAAATGAGCATGATGCCTCATTAATGAATGGAGACAAGAATGACGGAGCGGGATGTATGTACTGGCAACCTCTGTAATCAACCACCAATAGCTACAAAAACTTTTTTCTGTCGAAAAGGCTGGGTGGAAAAGTGTACGCTTACACTTGCCTCTCCAGACCTTTCTTTACTTCCTTTTTTCAAATTAGGAAGTGGTTCTGTTATTTTAAGCCCATAATGAGAAGCACCAGTCCACACTTGTGAAAAAATGAGAGTATAATTTGAGATTTTTTCAGTTTCAGCTGTCACCTTGTTTCAGTGCTGCAGTGTTCTCGATGGAAGCGTCGCCAGCTAGAGATCCCAGACTCTGCTCTTCTATGTCCGAGGGAGGAGAGACAGCAGCAAGGTCCAGCTCATATCCATTGGGGTCTGATTCTATAGAATACTGACCCTGGGACCTCCAGCCCCGGATGGGCTCTGGTCCCAGTTCCTCTGACGAGCTCTGAATGGGTTTAAATCCGAGAGAATCATCAACCACTGCGATGGCGTCCAGGTCCTCTCGGCTGTAGCTAATCTCTATGTCGCTGTCCTCGTCGGGGAATTCAGACTCGAAGCACTGAGTTCCTGTTGATGCTTTGTTCTCAGCGCAGGACAGGCTAGTGTCCCCTTCATCGCCGACATTTCCTTTCCCCTCGTCAGTGCTGGCGTTCACCTCTGGGAACAAGATATCTGCTCCAAAAGGGTCGCTGCCTTTGAAAGGGTCTGATCCGAATCCACCTGGTGAACAGGGTTTTTGTAAAGAATTTAGCGAAGTGTCAGTTGGAATATAAAGTTAATCCAAATCATGTTTAATAATTATGATCTTATCAATAACAAAGAGAAAATGCTGAAATCAGTCAACACGACACACTTTAAGTGTTTCTACTGTAAATAGCACACCAACTTTACAGCAGTACCCACTTTAAAACATTAAAACTAAAATAAAATAAGTTCACTGGTGCATTATTACTCACCAGATGAGTCAGTTTTAGGGAATAAGTCTTCATCGAAGAGGTTATCTACAAGTCAAGTGAGAAAGTGGAGCACCATTTTATACAACTAATGGGACACAGAGTGGATTCAAAAGACTGGATGAAGCACACAGAGACAGAGAGTTGATGAGAGTAGACTAATGTCTAAACTGCGTTGGTTTACCAAGTCATTAAGTGAACGGTCTTGGGCTCCATGTTTGTTTGATACGTACGGTCACTCTGACAGTGGGGGAAGGGGTCGGCTTGGTAGAAGTCCATTTGGTTGATGCGGCTCGGGTCGACAGCAGGCTCTTTCTCCCCTTCTTCGTTGATCTCCCCTTCTTCTGGGTCGTCCTCTATGTCAGATTGATCCACCTGTGAAACATCCCAAACCAACGAGGGCGTGTTGAACGAAGGCTGGCCGACGGCGGAATCAATGATTTAAAATCACGGCACTAACTGACGGTTGTGATTTCACGTTTTGTGGCCGTGAAGCTAACCTTTGGCGAGCTTGTTCCACTGTCGTCCACCTCTTCTCTGGTATCCGCAAGGTTATTGCAGAAAGACGAGCCGCTGCCGCGCTGGTGGAGTCACACAGACAGACACACAGACAGGAAGAGACAGGGAGGGAGTCGGAACATGAAAACGACTTTTGCAGCTGCATGAATCTGATAAAGTAGTCACTCTAATATTGTGTTAAGAGTACAATTTCAACAGCTGCTCTCTCGCCTTTCTACAATACTGCAGGTTTTCAAGCACGTGTGGTAGCGCAGAACCACATTACAGTTTGAATATTATTCCGCTATATTCAACAAAAACATGTTAAAAAACCGTGGAGCAGATTGATACGTTTTCCTCTGTATCAATCAAACAGAAGAGCGAAGAGAATCAACCAATCACTTTAAGAAATTAAATTTTTCCTTCAAATGTAATATTGACAAAAATAAACGTCATAACGTCAGTAAACAGAAGATGGGGCCTTATAGGTTGTGTAGGATGAACCTGAGTTTGTACTGATTGTAAACTTAGAAAGGGAACATTCCATGAGAAAATTTTGTTTTCAGGACATAATATCTGAATCTGAATATCTATTGCCCAGAAAAGTAAAAATCTGTGAACTAAGACAACCAAGTGAGTTTTGTTTTGTTAGGCTGCTTGGATCAGAGAGAAAGAGACACAGTCTAAAGAGGCTGGTGCTAAAACAGAGCGTTTCAGACGGAATGCAATTAAATATTGCAAAAAGAAAGTGTTATTTGAACATGTTGTGGTCAAAACACAGAATTCAAGTAAGAAGCTGAAAGCATGTTTAACTCTTATGCATGTCAGAGTAGCAGTGAGATAAATTTCACTTCCCCATTGGCAGTCTTTCTGTTATCAGTGAATAGCCTGGAACTGGGTGAAACCAAGACAAGAAGGCACATCCAAACAGCGCTTTAAGTAGCGTTTACCATGATCAGGTCAGCGTAGGCTGGCAGCGATTGGCTCCTTCCCCACGGCCTCATGGGCAGCGGATCATCTTCGGTGGTGTCTGCCGGGGATGTGGACTCCTCCAGCTGGCTCTCTGGAGTAACTGCACTTCCTGACAGAGAGCACAGGGTGTGCTCCTCCTGCAAGGACCAGAGGAGTGGTGAGGAAGCCGTGAAAGACTGTTTTCTCTTTAAGTTACAAATGAAAGGAGATACGACTAAAGCGTTTTTGTAAATACTCTTTTGGGTTTTATGGAACGTGGGGTAATGATGCATTTTATCCTCTTGTGATCAAAATTAGTTTTACAACAAACAAGACAAAAATATTCTGACAGAAAAAAAGAAAACCAGCTAATCCCAAAAACATAAGCTTTTCACAGATTAGAGATTTAAAATGAACCTTGCCAGTACGTCTTTCCATCTGCTCCTCAGTCATGATATCCCAGGTACACAAAAACAACAACACCACACGTGGTAGGGACGCATGCGCCTCCTCCGTACCTGCAGAATCTCTTCATAGGACTGCCTGATGGAGTCCTGCAGGGGGGTGTTCCTCTCCCCTGCCTCCTCTGTCTTCCTCTTGGCCTGCTTCACCTCGTCTCTGAGCCTCTTCAGCCTCCACCTGACTCTGGCGAGCTCCCTCTCGTACTCCTCCACCTGGCTCTCCTTCTGCACCTCCTCCGCCTGCAGAGACAGGATCTGGCAGGAGAGGAAGGGGAGTCAGTAGCAGCAGATGGCATCCAGTCCCGTCCGCAGGTGATAGAGATGAAGAGTCGCCCAGGGAAATTACACTTTATACTTTTGTTTAAAAACTGCTTTACATTCAGATTGGATTGATCAAGGATTTTGTTACAAGGTGTACTCTGATCACAGACGACACTGTTAAGATGCTCAGTGAAAGCTGAGCCTCTTCTAGATGACAATCCTTATTTATTCTATTTATCCTGAGTGACTTGGCAGCTGATTGTTGTTCATTATGCATTATCCATTATCAAATTATTGAAAACGGGGGCATGCCCCCAGTAAAAAGTGAGCCAATGTAGAATAATCTTTTATACAAACTAGCCTGGGTGCTGTTCTTAAAATAACTTCAGATCGTGGAAAAACAACCTGGAGCTTTTATAACCAGGCTCTTTTGATTGTTTGACCAAAATATTGAACTGATCTGATTCAGCTTATATATTGTGCTGAAACACGTTGTTATAACGTTGCACCCACACCCGAAATTTTTTATTAAAAAAAAGTTACTATTTTAAAGATTTCTTTTTTTGTTATATTTCCACGCACTGACTTACACAAAAAAAACTCTTTGGATCCAAACGATTCAGGAGGATCATTAGCCATCCGCTGTGTAGTAACGTTTTACTGACATGGTTATCATATTTAGTAAAATAAGTGATCAGGACAACAAATGTTGAAGTTATATTTGTTATAACTGTGAGTAATATGTTGCACCAGTACCTGGTATCATGTAAAACAATCAGGTTTCTCAGCTTTCTTTGAGGCTTTGTTGGTGTTTTTTTTACTTTTTATTATTCTGTACAGTCTGCACAGTAAATCTGACATGAACGTAATAATGGTGTTTCAGCTGAATTTGTGTGGTATGCTTCTGTGTCAGAGCGATAGTGTAGCTACACAGTCACCTACGTTGTTACCGCAGCAACTAATGCAGATAGGTTGGTGACATTTGGACACACAAATCCATTCTGATCGCTGCTACAGTGTGCTCAGTCCGTCTGGTCTTGTCTGATTTGAGAACAACTTCCAACTCCGCTGAAAAAAGAAAATCTCTGCCATAAAGTCTCTGAGAAGCCATCAAGTTTGTTAGTTCCGATTAAACTAGACAGCAACGATGGATGACTGTTACTGCTTTACCCGGTCAGCTCAGATGTTTTCAGAAAAAACATTAAGCTTACCTTTAGTTATAAAAGGAGAACGTTTGGGACCAGATCGCCATGTTGACAACAGTCGAGCAAAAACCAAGCCCCGCCCACCCACCCATTGAACAGAATCAGAGTCATTACCTCCAAACCTTTATATTCTTCCTCCAACAACTACATTTTACAGGACTACATGTGAACACATCATAATAACCTTATAATTGACCTGCCATGTGCCAGCCTGCTTCAAGGCCTCCACCATCATCCCCGTCCCCAAAGAAACAAGGATCACAGGACTAAAAGACTACAGGCCCATCGCCCTTTGAGCGCCTTGTCCTCACCCACCCGAAGACCCTCACTGACCCCCTCCTGGACCCCCTGCAGTTCACCTACAGAGCCAACAGGTCTGTAGACGATGCTGTCAACATGGCCCTCCACTCCATCCTCCAGCATCTGGACTCAGGAACCTACTCCAGGATCCTGTTTGTGGGCTTCAGCTCTGCTTTAAACACCATCATCCCGTCTCTGCTGCAGGACAAACTCTCCCAGCTGCACCACCCGACTCCAGCTGGGGAAACATGTCTCAGCCTCTCGGTAAGGCTGCATTCTTTCCCCTCTGCTCTTCTCCCTGTACAGCTGCACCTCCAGTCACCAGTCCGTCAAGCTCCCAAGTTTGCGGATGACACCACCCTCATTGGACTCATCTCTCTTGGCTACAGGTTGGAGATTGACCAACTGTGACATGGTGCAGTCGAAACAACTTAGAGGTAGACGCTCTGAAGACAGTGGTGATGGTTGTGGATTTCCAAAGGAACGCAGGCCCACCTTCCCCCAGCCGACCCCCTCACCCCGACCACAACCTCTTTGAGCCCCTTCCCTCTGGCAGGAGGCTGCGGCCCATCAGGACCAAGGCCTCTCAACACAGAAACAGTTGCTTCCCGTCAGCAGTCTTATGAACCATGTCTGAGTCCCCCTATTGACCCAATACATTTTGCACCGTGGTTGCTCACCATGGAAACGTATGAACATACATAGGTGTTAACATACTTTTCTTATCTGTTCATATTGTTTTCATTTTGCTTGTATATTTTTATCGTATTTTACTATATCTTATTGTATTATATTTTATTCTTATATGGAAATAATTCAGATTCTGACGTATAGCCAAAAGGAATTTCTACTGAACAGAGCTTGAACGCATCACAACACATTGCAACCTAACGTTAGCTATTAGATCCATTATGTAGCCAAGAAAGACAACGGACGCTAACTAGTGCTCCTGTTGATGTCAACATAGGTTTGTTGTTCACAAAGCAACAATAGGGGAGAAAGAGTTTGAACGAACACATCAGTAGCGGTTTTGTTGTTACCTGTTGACTCTCCTCATAGCACAGCTGCCTAGTTGCCTTTATTTGCTGCACCAGCTTCTGCTTGTGCGTCTCTAACTTAGCCAGAGTCTCCTCCAGCTCATTGCGGTCCGACTGCTGCTCCTGAAGTTCCAAGTTCTCCACCGTCACCGCGTTCTCCAGTTCCTACAACGCACACACTGTTTAGGACTCATGGATAATCCGAAATCATGGGGGGGATGTTGAAACATGCGTGGAGATGTATGAACACACACACACACACACACACACACAGCACACACAATCCGGTACAGGTGAAAGAGTATTTTCTTTCATAAAACAATTAATCTTATGGAGATACATTTTTTGATTGGCCTTGCGTTTAAATTAGAGTTGAAACATTTAAATATTACATGTGACAGCAATGACTCATCTAATAAATCTTCAAATAAATGGCTTCCTTAACAGGTCGCTATGTAAGAGCATCAGCTCTATTTAGCATTACAATGTCAACTAATATCACATCTCGCCACCTACTCTTATGAAACTTAGAGCAATTTTAGTAAACAGGCACATGGACAACAGAACCGCTGGCAAACTGGTTTGTAGTCGAGGAATTAGGCTTCACTTGTTCCTCGTGAGGGGCTCCCACAGAAACGTCTCTAAATGCAGTAGGGCGAGCCTTCTCGAGATTAGTAGATCAGATAATGGTTCACCAACTCTTTTGATGATTGATCCAAAATCAGTAGTTTTCTTCTCTTCTCTAATCTAATGGAGAGAATAAAGGTCAGATTCGGGTTGAATACGACCACAGAAGTTATGTTACAAACAAATCAACGTTGAGCTGTCTTTCCACAAACAGCGGCCTCCCGGCAGAAAGGTCGCTGGCTGCTGGAACCAGCAACAACCCCCCATCCCTCAGTCCTGTGTGAGCTTTTACAGCCTCTCTACGTCCCGTCACGATTCCCGTTGATTAGGTACATAAGAATTTCGAGTCACCGCTAGGAATTACAGCGCTAAACTTTTCATAGGTTTAGATCTATATGTTTGATAAAACCACCAACATTTTCTGTATTTGTTCCACAGATTGGACATTTACTACTTTGCTATATGCTTAGACATATTGTTTTAAGACGCACTGTAAATCCAGGTGATAATCCCGCAAACAGCAGTTCCTTGAAAAGTGATACGTGGTGAAACGATCACTGCAGTACATTGAGAAGATATGACTCCAATAAAGTGGTATAGACTTGTTTTACAGCATCATGACATCACATGAGAGCATCATGGGAAATTGCAGTGACAGAAAACACCACACGTTCACACAGACATACATATGCTTCAGGTCCTGTCCACACCATTTATATTAACAAAATAAAAAATAGCTAACACAAAAAACACACACTCACGCAGATGAATGACAGCCAGTACGTACGCACACAAACATGCACACACCAGTGCGAGGTGCTGCGGTCTTCTTACTCTGATCTCGGCTGTCTTGGCGAGGACCCGCTCATCGGTCTCCACGACGTCGGTGTCCCTAGGGGACGACCAGCAGAGGAGACAGGAGTGTTTAAGGAGGGAGGAGAGGGAGCGGTCGCTCTTCCAGTCCGCCTTCCCTCCATCGTGCCCTCCTTCCCATGAGCCCTCTATTTTTTCCTGCTGTACTGCACGCTCCTCCATTGCTGCCCCTCGCTAGCTATCGCTACACTGCAGAGGAGGCGGAGCTGCCTGTGTGTGTGGGGGGGGGGGGGTGGAGTGTGTGTGTGTGTGTGTGTGTGTGTGAGATAGATGCACAGGAGCAGAATGCACCAATGTGAGAGAAGGACGAGGGGGGTGGGGGGGGGGGGGGGGGTAAAGTGAGAGCGGTAGGCTTGTCCATCCATGTATTACCTCTACTGTAGTCTCCTCCCTTTAAGCCCCCTACCCCTTCCTCACACATCTCCCCACTCCTCTCCTCGGTCTCTCCTCCTCCCCCACTCCATCACCACCACTGCAGTATGCATCAGTCCAAAAACACACACACACACACACACACATACACACACACACACACACACACACACACACACACACTTCACACTTAAAGCAGTGACTGAGCCATTCATAAAAATCCTGGAGAGCACAGCAGCAGCCTGCATCCGCAAATGTTACCAACCAATCAATAATTATTTACTAAAGCATGTTAAATAAGTGGCCAGATTGATCTATGTAACCTCAGTAAACATCATAAACATGAGATTACGTTCTAAATCTCTACTGTTAAATCGTCTTCATTGAGTAGAAACAATGTTACATTTAGAATCAAATGGACCATAAAGCAGGGTTAGGGCTTTAGGGCTTTAGGGCGGGGCCGCCTTGTGATGTGTGCTTTCTACCACGATGTTGTCTATATTTTCTTTCTTGAAAAAAACGTTTTAATTGTCTGTTTTCACTTTATGAAAGTTTATGTCCTATCCAGTTTTCAGTTGAATTTATGTCATCTCTGGGACAAAACAAAGATGCCGTTGGCCATGTCGAACTCAAGGCTTTAAAGCTGCACTCTAAACAATTTCAACGTAAATTAACAGTAATTCACAGGAATAAGTAACCTATATATATTTTTTGCGGTATGTTACCGTGTATTGGATTACAGTTACAGTACATTTACTGCTATCATTAAGATAAATGTAATTTTACCGTTTAAGCCAGAATGTTACCATTTCCTTACAGAAGTGTAATACAACCCAATACTTTTGCATGTAATTCCCCACAAATAAAGAAAAGACAAAGAAAACGCAGGTAATACATAACTGTTTATTAAATGTCTTCAAGACAAATATTTTTGTAATAAAATTTGTGAAAGAATAAAACCATAAAATCATGAGGAACTTATAAAGATTAAATTCATATTTTTGTTGAAAACGATAAGGCACATTCATGATTCACACGCTGGGTGGAATCTGTTTTGTGTCATTAGTATATTGGTTCATGATGGGTGCCACTGTGGCCTGTTATCTGGTAGACATCCTGGGATTCCTCTCACTGGTGACGGGATTCATAAAAGGAGGATTGATCCTGTAGTGACTGTTAAACAAACAAAATAAAACATTTAGAAACACTGTCACTGGTAAAAATAAAACATGAAACAGACTTATGAAAGTAGATAATGGTAAGCATAAGTATTGTTGAGCTCCCAGTATACCGTAAAACTAAAGCCTAGTGACACGAGCGTGTGGCGGAGCCAAATGCAGCACAACGGCACGGAGTGTTTAGTTAACGCTTTTATTGAACACGGCCTCACAGCAGGCGTTCGGGCACAATGAGAGGCCGAGCAGAGTGCGGTCCTCAGGATCGGGGAGGAGCCGGGAGGCAGCTGGTGCGATCGCTGGGCCGGTCGGGGATCCGGAGCACAGGGGCAGAGGCGCCGGGCAGTCCAAGGAGCAGGCAACAGAAACCCGAGGCGCTCAGGCAGGACTCGTGGTCGGGGACAGAAGGCTGACGTGCTCACCGGGGCGGAGACAGGCGAACGGGTCGGGAACAGGCAGGGTCGAAACCGGGAGATCAGTCCAAGGTAGAGTGCTGGAGAGACTTGCAGTACGCGAAGAACAATCTGGCAATGACAGGCTGGGTGTGCAGTGCTTATGTAGCGGGGCTGATTGTGAATGCGAAGCAGGTGTGGAAGGCAGGAGAGTGACTGATTGTGGATGCGGGGCAGGTGTGGAAGATCAAGCTGGCAGGTGAGTGTGACAGAACCCCCTCCTCAAGGGGCGTCTCCTGACGTCCCCAAACGCTGTCACCGAGGGAGGGCGGGGGGGATTCTGGAGGAATCTCCTCAATACTCCTCAGACTCGGCCCGGTCTGAATTGTGAGCCGGGTGGACGGGGATCTGGGGGAAGGGTGCGTCGTTCTCCTCTGCGGACTCCTCCGATGACGAGAAGGAGTCCTCCGTCTCGTCAGGGCCGGCAGTGGATGTAGCAGTGCGGGTATTGGGACGGGGCCTCTTGGCTGCCGGGCGGGTCCTGGAGGGCTGGTCCGGGTGTTGCTGGTGGAAGCTGGTGATAAGTCGTGGGTCGACAATAAAACCGGCAGGGACCCAGGATCTTGTCTCCGGACCATAGCCTTCCCAGTCGACCAGGTACTGGATGCCCCTCCCCCGGCGGCGGGAGCGGATAAGGCGTCGGACAGAATAGACAGGACCTCCATCTACAATGCGGGGAGGTGGGGGGGCCGGGGTGGCGGGAACGAGAGGGCTCTCCACCACAGGCTTAATTTTAGAGACGTGAAATGTAGGGTGGACACGCATGGTCCGCGGAAGCTTCAGGCGGACTGCAGCAGGGTTGATGATCTTGAGAATCTCAAATGGGCCAGTGAACTTCTGGGCCAGTTTCTTGGAGTCGTCACGAAGGGGAAGGTCCTGGGTCGATAACAAGACCTTCTGGCCCACCCGGTAAGTGGGCGCAGTGGAGCGTCGGCGGTTAGCAGAGGCGGAGTATCTAGTCACCGACCGCTGGAGGTTGGCCCTGGCCTGGGCCCAGGTGCGCCGACATTGGCCCCGAGGACAGACTGGCCGTGGCCCCGATGAGGGTGCAGAACTCTTTCCAAAAGACAGAGGTGAACTGTGGTCCCCGGTCCGAGACCACGTCCACAGGGAGACCATGGAATCTAAACACGTCACGAAGGACCACCTCCGCAGTCTCTTTGGCCGACGGCAACTTAGGCAAGGAAATAAAATGCGCCATCTTGCTGAACCGGTCCACCACCGTGAGAATGGCGGTGTGCCCTTGAGATGGTGGTAGGCCGGTTACAAAGTCCAGGGATACGTGGGACCAGGGGCGGTGAGGGACGGGAAGCGGGTGCAGGAGTCCAGCCGGAGCCTGGTTGGAGGACTTGTTCCGGTTACAGACGGGGCAGGCTTTTACAAACTCCTGGACGTCTTTGTTCAGGGACTCCCACCAGAACCGGCGCCGGAGAAATTCTCTGGTTCGCTGGATCCCTGGGTGGCAGGTGAGATGGGTACTGTGGCCCCACTGGAGTACCTCAGACCGGAGTTGCCTCGGGACAAAGAGTCGGTTGGGTGGGCAGGCGCTGGGACCTGGCTGCTCCTCCAGAGCTGCCTGGACCCTCTCCTCGACTCCCCAGGTGATGGCAGCCGCCAGGCGAGCCGGGGGAAGGATGGTGACCGCCTCTGCAGTACCCTCCTCCTCCTCCCCCTTCAGAAATAGGCGAGACAGGGCGTCGGGCTTGACGTTGCGGCTACCTGGTCGATAGGAGAGGGTGAAATTGAAGCGGGTGAGGAAGAGTGACCAGCGGGCCTGCCTGGAATTTAGTCTTCTGGCCGTCCTGATGTACTCCAGGTTCTTGTGGTCGGTCCACACCAGGAACGGCTGTTTGGCCCCCTCCAGCCAGTGCCGCCACTCCTCCAGAGCCGCCTTCACTGCCAGGAGCTCTCGGTTGCCGATGTCGTAGTTTCTCTCTGCAGGGTTCAGACGGCGAGAGAAGAAGGCGCAGGGGTGGAGTTTCTGGTCGTCGGCGGCCCGCTGCGACAGCACGGCCCCTACGCCAACATCCGAGGCATCCACCTCCACTACAAATTGCCTCTCTGGGTCGGGCATGCGCAGGATGGGGGCGGAGGTGAAGCGGCTCTTCAGGGTCTGGAAGGCGGAGTCGGCCGCAGGTGACCATCGGAAAGGGACCTTGGGGGAGGTGAGAGCCGTGAGAGGGGCTGCCACCGTGCTGTACCCTCGGATGAAGCGGCGATAGAAGTTTGCGAAACCCAGGAAGCGTTGTAGCTGCTTTCGAGACTCTGGGACCGGCCAGGCGGTGACAGAGGATACTTTAGCCGGATCCATGCGGATGTCCCCCTGACCGATAATGTACCCAAGGAAGGACACAGAGGGAGCATGGAACTCGCACTTCTCGGCCTTGACGAAGAGCGAGTTCTGCAAGAGTCTTTGGAGGACCGCCTGGACGTGGTGGATGTGGTCCTCCATGGATCTGGAAAACACTAGGATGTCATCCAGGTATACAAAGACAAATTTGTCAAGCATGTCCCGTAGCACGTCGTTGACCATGGACTGGAAGACGGCAGGGGCGTTGGTGAGGCCAAAGGGCATGACCAGATACTCGTAGTGGCCGGTGGGCGTATTGAAAGCCGTCTTCCACTCGTCCCCTTCTCGGATGCGGACCAGGTGATACGCGTTTCGAAGGTCCAGTTTGGTGAAAACGGTGGCCCCCTCCAGGAGTTCAAACGCTGAGGAGATGAGGGGGAGCGGGTATCGGTTCTTTACCGTGATGTCATTGAGGCCCCGATAGTCTATGCAGGGTCTCAACGTTTTGTCCTTCTTCTGGACAAAAAAGAACCCAGCCCCAGCCGGGGACGAGGAGGGACGGATGATGCCGGCGGACAGAGAGTCGTTGATGTAATCCTCCATTGCCTTTTTCTCTGGGGCCGAAATGGAGTAGAGGCGGCCCCGGGGAGGGCTAGTGCCAGGGAGGAGGTCAATGGCACAGTCATACGGCCGGTGCGGAGGCAGGGAGATGGCCTTTGACTTGCTGAAG